CATAAACCCAAACTTATTCCACAACGGTGCGGGTATTTGCCCGTGGACATCTTCTCGAAACAGCAACCAAACTGTGCATAACTCTCCATTTGTGTCAAACTTCTCAAATAAGCCGCAAATTAATTCCGGGTTTTTATTGGTTCGTGGTTTTTATTCACTTCAAATCTTTATCAAATCTTTAAATCATTTTTAATGTTCCAAGACATTGTTGACGAATATTTGCTCTACTTTTTCAGCATCCATTAAACTTTCTGTGATTCATTCTGGGATTTGAAACCACAGCTATAAATTAATAAAGCGAGATAAAGAATAACAATTCTGGCTTTCAAAGTTTCCAAGTGTAAAAATTTGACGACTTTCTATGTTTTTTTTGTCAAACAATATTCTCAATTGATGGTGGAAAACAATGCTATAAGCTGTTGTAATTTCATTTTCTCACCTCGAGGTGGCGTAACTAGAAGTCCGAGATCAAAGTAAGAATATTGTGAGCTAAAAAATTTCCACGTACTGAGGATGGGATCAGAAGTCGCTCTATTTGCTTGTCCTTCGATTAACATTATTTCGAATTCAGGTTGCAAGTATGGCATTGATGGGAATGGAAATATGATCACAAGTCTCAGAGAATCTTTCTTCTAGGATCCTATTAATTCAGAAATGTTGAAATAAACAGGGCTATTCATCAAATTTACTGCTTTTCAGTCGTTTGTGTAAACGTGCCGATGTGCCTCTGATTGCCTTGAAGCCATGATGAGCTCACACACGATGACCATAAAAGATATAAACTAACACTGACAATAGAAAGTAAAGTTTGCCCCCTCTCCCGGAGATACTGCTGTGACGTAGTGAAATAGAATAATTTAATACCAAAATAAAAATAATATTTATTCAAAGATATGTACAAGTACAATGAATTGCTATATTAAAACACTGCCGGAAATCCTTTTTCCTTTCGGAACACTGCTTTACCGAGAAAATACAAGCCACGCGTGATGCGCGGCCCGTCGAACTCTGTCCCGGTGACAATTACGTCAACATGCGCTGACGCCAAAAGTTAACCGGTGTGGCGACCGTGTGCCTACAGCACGTGAGTTGTCTGGCCCTTACTCTCCGGACATCTCGCCCTATCCTCAACCCTCCTTGTTACATACACGTCAAGCTACCCTGATGCAACTGAGTGGAACGGGGCGCAGATGGCGCCGCGTTAAATGTTGAGGCGAACCCCACCACTGTTCCATAGATAGGCCCGCCGGTGGGCGAGACTCGGCGGCCAGCCTTGTTTACGCCCCAATGGATTCTCTAGGGGTTTGGCTCGCCTGCTTCCGGTTCGAGGCACGCTAGCTAGCCTCCTCGGAGTTTACAGCAACGGTATTTTTGGTGCTTCTTGCGGCTCTACATGCAGTCAACCGCCAGAGCTGGCAAACTCGGATGTTCGGCTTAACCCCTTCTCCCCGCAGGGTACTTTCACCAACTTACGGTTTGGCCCTCGTGTTAACAGAGCCAATCTGCTTAAATAGCACTTTTCGTGGCGGCGAGAGTTTTGAGCACTCTGTTCGATGTTTTAAGCCTATGCGGTGGTTTGGCGAAGGTTCACAACGTCCTAAATCATTCTCAGTATGCTGTCCAATACATTCTCCTAAACCGCAAGATTATACACTGGATCATCTGTGCTGCCTTTTCTTCAGTGGTTACAACATTCCTATAACTTACGCACAGTCTTATATCTTTCTATCGGGTCTCCTTGTTTGTTTCGACCCCGAAGGATTAGAGATGCGAAGCTAGGAAGTCCATTTACCTTCTCCCTTATCTATTATACATCATCTCTCTCTAATCATCCTTCACTTGGGATTTCTGTGACTGCAGGCTCGGAGGGCAGTAAGGTCCTATCACCGTGTTAGCTGGCAGGGCTCTAAGCGGCCAGGGGTCACGGACTACTGAAATTCCTCTACAAGTCTCTCATATCTTAATATGAGACAAATGCTAAGGGAACAAGGCTAAACAATTAAGGACTCGGCATCATGGAATATATCCACAGGTAATGTTGGCGGATTATCATACAAGGAAGCGATTTCGTTAGTGAAATCAAAGATAAGCGTAGACATTGTATTTATCACAAGAAACAAAGAAAACGTTAAGGGAATATGTAACAGAAAATTTACCTATTATATTACTCAGCGTTGTCCCGGACACAAAGAGCATTGATTCAAGACAACTTGAAAAACAAAATACCGGTTTTTACAATTCGTGAATGAAATAATTATGTACATCTGGCTTAAATAACGTGATACCTTGTATATTCAGGCATTTACAAGATAGGAGGAAAGAATTAAACAATAATTTTATCAAACTCTAACAAAAACAAGTGATAAGATTAACAGAAAAGGCAATTAGTAATGGATTGTAAACTAGAGTAGACAACATCGAATGGGAGATATTTCGGGACCGCAATGGGGAAACAACATTGAATAAGAATGGAAAACATTCTCTATTTATAGAAAGTGATGAAAACTACGTTTTAAATTAACAGTATATATTGAAATAATGTCGGAGTCAGGTGTGTTTTGGCTTCCTCACACCTGGTATTAGCTTATTTATTCAGTGGCTCATAACGTGTTTTTTGCTTTTCGTTCTGCATGGAGACATTGCCGGCGAATGATCAAAATTCAACACATGCAAAACAACAAACTTAATTCAAAAACTACGGTGATCGCACTCTAAAGACTTTGCGACAAGCACCAATTGCCTGCAAACGTTTTAGCCATAGTTTCATTTCATTGATTCTGGTTGTTACTTCTGCACTAGCGATGAATATGGTTAAGAAATAAAATTACATTTCGAATTTCACTATCGCTGGTATAAATTGCAATAATGAAAGATCCTTCCAAATGCATCTCACTTTCCTCATAACCATGGCTCTGACTCTGCTGATCAGCGGAAAGATTATTGACACAACCGTGAGAGACACAAAGGGATTCACTCCAGAACGACGGAGGGACACATTAACGATACAGAAGGACATTTTGAATACACAGCTCGACATGAAATGAAAAGAATTTCTCCATAACACCATAAATAATGCCTTCAGTATTGTCAAAGATTGATTTTTGTGTGCTTACACTAACACGTGAAATACGTAAAATTAAGTTGGAATCGGTGACACGTGAAGAAAGAAAATTGGTATTCCCCACAGATGCCCCACCGCCGCTCTAACCAGGCCGCCCAACCTTTTACGCTGCACCTGGTGGCTGGTTGCTGTTGAACACACCAAAGGACCCAACGTTGAATCAGAAGCACAAAGAGTAAACTGCCAGTAAAAGAGCCGTGACTTGTGCATTGCCTGACCAAAGCACCAGACTTCCGCAGAAAGCCCGTAGCGCGCTCTTTCATTGCACACGATATCGATATACGTGGATATTGTGCCGCAATATCTTGATATTTAATATCGTTAAAAAGTTAAAGCCACGATTATAATTCTATTATTTGAAAAGTTTGCCGTAATAGTCGCGAGCGTGCAACGACAGTCCCTGTACTCACTCTACCTTCCTTTCATATAGAGGAGGGCTAACAAGCCAAAGCACCATCCAAACAGGGGTCACTTCCTCAAGAAAGAAGACAGGGCATTAATAGCACCATCCGGGGAAATGTATAGATTCGCCAATTCGTTCACCCTTCCCAAACTAGCACGGGTGCCAGTGATCACAATCAGATGTAAAGCAAACGATTTTTCTTCGCGTTCGTGGTTTCTCGTACGTAATTACACTGAATTATTATGTTATCAATATATTACGTGATGATGGAGAATTGATCTAGAAGGGAGGAGAGAAAGAAGTCACACAATCAAAGCATTGGTGACTTATACATCCTAATCGTCATGTTGGATTCCAGACCGAAAACGTTGAAAATATAGACATTTTTAGTATGAGAAAATATTTTCTTCTCCATTAAAATAAATAGATCGGTTTTATGTGACGACGTCCGAGGACCAGAGACAGTGTGTACTCAGTGTACAGACGTTGCACGCGCCCAACTCAAGGGGGACGAACCGACGCCGCCCTCGCGGGGACAAAAGCGACCTCAGCGGAACTTGGACGAGCTGACAATGGACGTAGGGCAGGGCCGATAAGCACTGTCAGCAAGGGCCGTGCGAAACGACGGAAGAAGCGCAAAAACAGCGTCAAGAGGTTATAAACTGGGACGGAACAACAATGCCACTATTATCAGCATAGATCTCTTATCGCCGTGCCCCTCTGCCTCAGCCCTAGTACGCAGCGCATTGGCAAGCGTGCTGTTGCTGGACTCGGACTGCCGCACCGGTGCGTTGGAGGAAGACGCGAAACTCCACGCGTCGATTGGCAAGCCTCTCCGACGCATTCGGCGCCTGCGACCGAATGCCTGCAGAGAGAAACCAGCGCAGCGATAGTTGCTCCGCCTCCACGCTGTGCTCAAGTCATCGGAATTCGCCCCTGTATTTGCTGAAGGTAATTGCGCTTATCCAACGCAGAGATAGTAATGCGCATAATGAGCTCTCAATCTGTGACACTTCACTTCACACTTTCTCGATAAAATGAAAAAAAATGTAGTACAGATGTTAAACTGTTCAGTACCATCAATACCCGTTACTTACCGCATCAAGTTTATTGACACTTCCAGTGCAACTGGGACGTAGGTCCTGACATTCCAGTGTCCTATCGTACCGGGCTGTCGGCGATTTTCTTTTCTATACTTATGTCATTATTCACACATCTATTTGAGGAGATCCTAGCGGCTGAATGC